ATTCTTTAGGTGCAACAATTGATTTCAAGCTGGTGTTTGTCATGGGGTGTTTACCCTGCTTTTCTTCTTTTATGAATTGCACACTGTAATCCTAATGACTTATCCTTGCATGAGTTAATGGTCTTTCTGACAAATTCTTGGTATGGAATATATCTGAATTTACAAGAGGAGAATATACTGTCTAGGAGTCACAGAACTTGAGTTATACAATATCATCCCTTATCATACTACATTGGACGGTTTTGCTTTCTGCTTTTCAGTCAGAGAAAATGCATATATTAGCTGCCTTGAATTCATTAGTTACCTTTCTTTTTTTTGACACTAGCAAACCTTTTTTTTTTTTTGACAATACCTTTTTCTTTTTATTGGCAAGTAAAATGCCTTTGTTTTTCGATAATTGGGTTGCCAAATCATTTATGCTATTACATTCCTATCAATGGAACTGCTTTCTGTTGCCTTTGTATTTACAGTAAATTCTTTGTTTTGCAACTATTGTAAAATGAGGAAAATATTAACATTTTTCCAATTATTTGCCTAGGGCAATCGTTTTGGCCAGGTTTCTTACTGATGCACAAGGTGGGTTGATAAAAACACATGCTGATCTGGAGAAGTTTGATCCGAAAGGAGCAGATGATTGCAAAAAAATAGCATTGGCTCACTCCAAACAGCTGTTTGATATATACAAGAATAGCAAAGACCCTTGCTTTGCACCTGCCATTATCTCCAGCCAGAAGAAAATTGTGCAAGTACTCTTCTGAGGCGTTCCTGGAGTGCTCAACTAGTCGATTATGTAATTGAGTGTAACGAGCTGATTGTTAGGTGTACTTCTGACTTGTGTGTAGCGAAGTAATTGTTAGTTATTCTGTAGGAATCAGGAAACCGTTCAGGTGTATATTGTAATTAACTAATCATCAACCCTATGATATAGTTCCAGTTGATTGTCATTTGCTAGAGCAGCTTATATTGTGGGCGTGAACTCCTTGTTTATTTTCGGCTACACAATAACAGGATTAACAGGGACATATTTGCTTATAAATTCTAGGAAAAGTGAAAGTCAGATTACTTAGGTTGGTGTTTATGATTGTTGTGATCAACTCCGTATTAGAAACACTCAAACACTACATTAGAAGCAAATTATGGCCCGACTATGGTGTAATTGAAAATGAATAGTGCTCTTCAAGATATTATAGTCTCCCTTTGATAGCGCAACCAAGAACAGAGAGACGAATGATTTTTCCAAAACAGTTAGAGAGACAGTATTTGCATAATTGAAGACCCCTTAGAACCGATTCAAATTGCTTTATTCCTTACAGATTTATCAATGTGACTTTTTCAAAACGCATCTTTAACGTTAAGCATTTTTAAGTTTTGTATCTAGAAATTACAGAGTACAAACTTTCATAAAAATTGAATTAAACCATATATCTCAAAGTAAATTCAACAAGATCAACTTAAAAATGCAATAGGACAATTTTTTATTACATGGAGTTGTTGACCAAAAGACTATTTTTTTTTAAGGAAAGCCAGCGGTCAAACTTATATTAAATCAAGATCCGCCAAAATTTGGAGAGTGTGGAGAAAAGAATTCACACAGATTCGTTCTTCATACATATTAGTATCCCATCTAGCCATAGTATGAGCAACTATATTACCCGCTTGCTTAGTATGATTACATGAGAAATAATTAAAACTACCACTTAGGGTCTGTTCTCATTTACTGAATTGAACTGAATATTTTATAACAGAAAAAAATTCGAAACTGAACTGAAAATAGGCTAAAGAGAACAGACCCTCAATCTAACAATGTCCTCGTAGAAGGACAATATAGGATTTGTGATTGGTGATGAGCAAATTCCTGTAAAAAAAAAAATGTGATGAGCAAAAAAATTTAAGAGGGAAGCCATGCATGGCCACGTGATGATCACGTGCGCAAATATTTGTTTGATAACCTCTGACGTGGACCGTAGATGACCATGTACTTTTAGACTTATTTATATCCCTAAACCAACCAACCAAGTAAACCCTTGAGCCGAAGCAGAGTCAACGCCGGACGTTTTAGGAAACTAAGCTTCCCGAAGAAAATAATTACAAATTTGGTTGCGTGGCAAAAGTATTTACAAAAATAAGCTTCTGGGGTAAACCGCTGCCTCGGGCAGCGTTTTACCCTCTATTTTTTTTATAAAAAAAAATCTGCTACAAAAACGCTGCCCCAGGCAGCGTTTTTATAGTTTGACTTTTTTTTTTCCCTCGTTTATTTTTTTTTAAAATTAATTAAAAAAAAAGGCAACAGCATAAAACGCTGCCCCGGACGCTGACTCCCCCGCCGCCTCTAGACCCATTCACCACCATTACTCATTACAGGCGGCGGCGTGTCAGACAGAGGGCCGAGCAACCTGACCTAGATCAATTGCCCCGGATAGATGAATCGGGATAGTGTTAGCTTAGTTATTTCATGTAGTAAAATTTTTGTATAGATTAGGTATATAACATTTACATTTCTAATATAATAAATGTTTTTCGGTCAACATTTGTGTGTTATGTTCTTTGTTTCCCAATATGTTTTGATTTATGTAAATATTGACTTGTCAACGGTGGTGGTGGAAGGTAGTGGTGTGAGGTGGAAGGTTGTTGGAGGTGGTGGTGGTGGAAGGTTGTTGGAGGTGGTGGTGGACGGTTGTTGGAAGGTGGTTGTGGTGGTGGGAGGTCGAGGTGGAAGGTGGTGGACGGCGGTGGAGGAAGGTGGTGGAAGCCGGTGGAAGGCGGTGGTGGAAGGTGATGGTTGGAGGTGGTGGTGGAAGGTGGTGGTTGGAGGTGGTGGAAGGCGGTGGTGGTGGAAGGTGGAAGGTGGTGGAGGTGATGGTTGGAGGTGGTGGAGGGCGGTGGTGGAAAGGGGTTGGAGGTGGTGGAAGGTGGTGGTGGTGGTGGAAGGCGGTAGTGGAAAGGGGTTGGAGGTGGTGGAAGGAGGTTGGGGGTGGTGTTGGAAGGATGTTGAGGGTTGGGGCAAGAAACTGGTTTGGTGCTGCCAACCAGGTAAAATGCTGCCTGGGGCAGCGTTTTACCTGTAAACATATACAGATAAAACGCTGCCCCAGGCAGTGTCTTATGTTCAAGCATAAGACGCTGCCTGGGGCAGCGTTTTATGCTGTTGCCTTTTTTTTAATTAATTTTTTTAAAAAATAAACGAGGGAAAAAAAGAAGTCAAACTATTAAAACGCTGCCTGGGGCAGCGTTTTTGTAGCAGAATTTTTTTTTTTTAAAAAATAGAGGGTAAAACGCTGCCCGAGGCAGCGGTTTACCCCAGAAGCTTATTTTTGTAAATACTTTTGCCACGCAACCAAATTTGTAATTATTTTCTTCGGGAAGCTTAGTTTCCTAAAACGTCCATCAACGCCAACAAGAGTTGGTGGGATCATTGTATACGCTATTTATGTTCTTATTTGCCACGAACACTTCTCATGCAATTGCTATCTCTCATTTATCATCTTTTATTTGTTTATTTAATTTATTGGTTCCTTTTGTTCATCTTTAATTTGTCCTTTAATTTAATAAATAATTATGTACTTGTGTCATTTTCACTAGCTTAGGTTAATTAAATTAAAGTTTCTGATGGTGATGTACTATTTTTGTTTCAAATTTGTGGATGTGGGTTAGTGGGTAGGGAGAATATTAAATGAAATAATGAAGATTTTATTATTTAAGCATATAAATATTCCTTGTCATCAAAATTATCTTTATATCAGTATATTATAAAGGTTACCATTTTTTACCTAAGTTTTACCCTTAAAATTACTTATAATGTGTTAGAATAATCATAATAGTCTTTATAACATGTATCCAATTGTAATTACACAATAAAATACAACCACATTCATTACAATTTAAATGATACCCACTTTAAATGATACCCACTTATATGCGGTTAAAGTTACTACGGAGTATAAAAATTGTTAAAGAAAATGAACTGATTTTCAGTAAATTTAACGAAAGATCATCTTATACTCCGTACAAGAATTGTTATGTTTTTTCCAATTTTATCTAGTTGTGTCAGCTATCTATCTAAAATGAGAGTATCACAATAATTGCACCACTTCCTTACTAAAAGTACTTTAACTTGATTACGTTTCCTTAAGATGCTCTTCATTAGAATCCCAAAATTATGTTTGTTGATGTCGGAATTAAATTATGAGCATCAAAAACACCATATGAATAAGTACAATTTTTTTTTTTATTTTTTTTTCCCTTCTTCATACCTATCTTTTAGGAAGATTTTCATAATATTTAAGATGTTTGAAATTTCAACACCAATATTAGTCATATTATATCCTTCACAATCGAGTCTTCATATTTTTTTACTCTATTCATGCTTTAAGATTGTTTTATTTGACTTTTCATAATCATTGTCCTTGAAAATTGATATTGTAGAAATACACATGCAAATGTATTGAAACAAATTCAAAAGTTTAATTGATACTAGTACATAATTGTTTATATCTATGACAAACATATAAATAATTATATATAGTTTTATTTTTACTCTTTTTTGACTTTTTATTTAGTAAGACATTTGGTTTTAAAAATACTACTTATGAATCTTAAGATCTTAATTCTTAAATGTTCAACATCTTGCCTTTATAGGAAAATTCGTAATTAAAATTACCAAATTTCCATTACATATTCACGTAAACAATCTATATCTCATGTGCTTGAATATAATATATCTGGAGACCCTTATGACCTGTTATCTTCAACTCAGTTCGTTTCTAATTTCCTTGTCTCATAAACAATTTAGTAAAGCTCAGTTCAGTTCAATAAATCAGAACAGACCCGTAATATTAAGATCCTTACATAATTAATATTCATATTATCTACTATTGCAAATTAATTGATAATTTACCAATCCGCGATAAAAAAAAAACATTTTTCTTATCATATTCACGTGTCAAACACGTGGCATATCTATAAATAGATTAAGAAAAGAAAGGCATAATAAAAGTGAGGGAAAGAGCATATAATTAAAGATCTCATAATAATCAACATCCACAATTCGACATTGTTTAGAAAGAAAGGGGTTGAGGAATCGAAGATCACTCAAACTAAAACATTTCTTCATTATTCTATTTATGGCATGTTTTACAGCCACAAATCTCTTTCTTCCTACCCATACCTGAAAAATTAATTTTTATAAATTATTTATTATTATGATGATGATTTTGTCAGGACCCAGAAATTTCAGAACTTGAGGTAACCACATATTTCTTTTTTTTTTTTTTTTTGAAATTATTTATTATTTATTATTGTACTGCAAATTGCCTTTGTTTTCTGGGCGAAAATTTGAACGCAAGATATATCTGTAGGTTTCCATATTAGGAAAGATTAATGTGTAGAGAAAATTCTCATTAATTAATTTTTAGGGTTTTTTTTTCATCTTAAATCGTAATTCCCATTTCACAGAATTCGTTTCTGGTGTTAATTCCTGATTCTGGTGAGTCTTTAATGTTGATTTTGAATTCTGGGTGTCTCTTGATTTTATCTAATTTTGTTCAATTTAACTTTTTTTTTTCCCTTCCTTTTCGAATTAATGGTTTATTTTGTTTCTGGGTGTATAATTAGTGCATGCACTTAGTTTTGCTCATTACCCAGTTGTTCAAATAGATTGAGTTTGATTTTTATGAATTGATTGTCGGTGGATAATGGATATTATGTGTTTTGTGTCTTGAAATTGATTCAAGAATGTAGATAATGAGCAGGAATGCAGCTAAATTAGTTATGTTATGTTTAACTATACTTGTTGATGGATATATTCGGCAAATTCGTGATTATGGCTGTTATGGTGGCTCGAATGCAGCTATATTAGTTATGTTATGTTTAACTATACTTGTTGATGGATATTTTCGGCAAATTCGTGATTATGGTTGTTATGGTGGCTCGAATTCTTAGTTTTAGCATTTATAATGTTTGTCTTGATCTGATGCATATGTTTAAATGGGTTTTTGAAGGAAGTCTTAGTTTTTGTTGATTGAATTTGGTTTGCTACAAGGTTTCAACTTTGTGTAAATATGGTGGTCGTTTCAAAACTTAATGCTCTCAATATTGTTATTATTTTTAATCCGTAGATGCTTTTGGTGCATTGAGGATTGAGTAGCATGTATTCACCACTATGGATGAAGGGGATACTGAGGATGTGGCTCCTGTGAGTCGAGCGGAGGATATTCGAGCCCAAGGTAAAGAAAGTGAAAATTTGGTGGAGAGCTGCAATGTGTTGGAACCACGGGGGAGGGTTACTTTTAGGGAAGGGGATATCCGAAGGAGCTCAGTCCAGCAATTTGTGGATATGTTAGGTGGAAACGATGGCAATAGTGATGTAAATGTAGCGGAAATTCCTCGAGATCCATGTACAAGCTACCATGAAAGTGGGGAGGTCAGAGTTCAGGAGCTATTCTTGGGAGATCACAGCTCTGGCTTTGGTACAATGAATGAGGGTGAGATGATGGATACAATTCTAAATGAGTGGCAGCATGGATATCAGCCGGGGATCAGATCAGAAGCTGAAACTTCACATGAACACTTACTCCACAAGGAGAAATCCTTCTCAACATCAGGTGCTTGGAAAGACTCAAGACCTGCCAATGTGTTGGCTGGGCAAGAAATTAATCATAATGCCAATGTAAGCCCTGATGAGACAACTCAAAATGAAAGTGATGCAGTTTTGCAGCATGCCTTTTCATCTGGGGCTATGAGAATGAAGATTCTATCCAGATCTTCTGAATGTCCAGAATATTTTGTTAGGAATACACTAAAGGGTAAAGGGGTCGTATGTAGAGGACCAATTTCTGCTGCTGTAGAACTGAGGGGCCAAAAAATTGCAAAGGCGGCTGCTGCTGCACCCATAGCAGCCTCCAATCTGCCAGTAAATGTGGGACTAACTTCCAATCCACCGGTAAATGTGGGACCAAAATCTCCTTTTTCATCTAATTACGGAGTCACTACTTCTGCTGGTTGTGAATCTGTGAATGATGGCATGAATTTAAGGGAGTGGATGAGATCAAGGCAAAACAAACCGCATAAAGTTGATAGTTTATATGCTTTTAAGCAGATTTTAGAGCTGGTGTATTGTCTTCATTCGGATGGCAAGGTCTTGGCAGATTTGCGTCCATCTTCTTTCAGGCTGTTGCCGTCCAGAAAGATCGAGTATTTTGGGTGCATATGTGCACAGAAGGAAATGCAGGGGAGTATAATTGGTAAGGATATTCTGAAGTCACAGACTCTGAAAAGACCATTAGAGCTGGGTATGTCAGCCCAATCTTACTCGGGTGTGAAGCACCAGAAATCTATTGATAATGCAAACTTTTTCAAGTTGAAGTCACAGGTTCAATTAGGATGTGGCCCTAAACCAATAACAAATAAAATTGATGCCAATCTTGCTGGTCCAGGAGTATCTAAGACCTCAAGCAGGCTACATTTGCTACCTTCAGCACAGCCGGCACTTTCTGTAAATGAACAACAAGAAGAGATTTGGTATAGAAGTCCTGAGGAGCTCTGTGGCAGGGGTTGCACAGCCTCATCAAATATCTACAATCTTGGGGTCTTCTTATTTGAGGTTTGTAAACTAGTTTCTATTATCTTTTGGCATCTTTCGTCTTGAGAAGCTTTTGTATATGACTGTCTTATCATCGTTCATCTTGAGAAACGTTTGTATAAGACCACTTTTGTGAGTCACTACAAGCATGTGACCCTATTTGTGTTTCTCTCTCCTTTTGGACATACCCACCTGCAAGGTGGTCTTATGTGATGGTTAATTGGTCTTATTTAAAAATTTGTATAACTTTTTATGGACTATCGAACTTCGCAAGTTGTTTTCCAACAAAGCGCAACCTTGCAACATTTTACTTCAGGTCTATATGCTAATTAAACTGTGTCAGGGGTGCATTCTCTTGGACATGCTCACTCAACTAGTCAAATTAAGCTTTTACCTTTTTAGAATACAATAATCCACTTCATGCCTTACTTAGACAACAAATTGTGTAGATAATTTGGCGTTTCACATTGCATATAATGGAAGTTGATGTGCCTCTGTTTCCTTTTGTATCTCTCTTGTCGGTGCATGACAAGGCTTTTAAAATATCAGATTGTCATGATTGCACTCAAAATTCTCTGTTTTGTGCTGCAGTGATGTAGGTTTTGAATTGGCGTGTATATGGCTACCTTGCCAGGCCATGTATTCCTCCTATACTTCATAATCAGCAGTATTTTTGGCTCATAACAACTTTTTGTTTCTAAGTTGTCTACATTCTTCTTTAATGGTTTTGCTGTGTTAAATCTTAACAGGATTAAGCACATAGGCTAATGAGATTGGTTTCTGCCTTGTTCCAGTTACTTAGCAGTTTTGACTCTGGGAAAGTGCAAGCTACAGCGATGTCTGATCTGCGTCATAGAATTCTTCCTCCCAACTTTTTATCGGCAAACCCAAAGGAAGCTGGGTTTTGTTTGTGGCTTCTTCATCCTGAACCTTCACTTCGGCCAACGGCCAGGTACTGTATATTCCATCCAACGCTAGGATTTTTTTTTTTATATATATATATATATATATATATATATATATATAATTTTTATTGGGATCTTTGCTATTCTTTAAGGCCCTGTTCACTTCAGCTTGTAGAAAAATTACTCTACTTTTCAGTCAATATCAGTTCTAATCTGTATAAGCAAGTTTTAAGCAGTTAACATTAGTTGTCATTAGTAAAAATTAGTTTTGATCGGTATATTACATTACAATGTATTTGAAAATATCACTAGTCAATCAGAAAAAATAGTTTTTTTTTTAATTTTTTTTTTATCAATGCCGGCCTCAAAAATGATAATGCCTCTTGAATTTAAGAGATTGATATCCAAATGGAGAGGTGGAGAAGACGGGTGAGGGGGGGGGGGGGGAGTGTAGAGAGAGTAGGCAGTGGGCCATCGAGAGTCTACAATATGTAGATAGAGATTAGTTGAGTGCCAGTTTCATTGGAACCACCAATGATCAAAATTGATTTTCTTTGTTGGTAAGGGAAATCTGAAGAGGGCCAAGGTAAGGGCACTAAGGGGATGTTTGCCACATGGTAGTTCCTTGAACATACCCTTATCTAAGCTTGTCGAGCTCAAAATTTCAAGCTTGGCTCAAGCTCTTAAAAGCTCTTAAAAAGGGCTTCTGCACACTTGACTCAAGATTATTTTGTGTTTTACCTCTTAATTACATTGACCTTTTTGAATATGGTATCTAAAGTCAAAAAAATTAAGAGAAATTTAGGATACATAGTTATTATTTGGTCATGATCCATGAATTTGGCTAATTTCATAGTTTTTTTAATTTTTATGAAAAATACAATTATATAGCAAGCCCATTCTAGCCAAACTGGTGCAGCTCACAAGACAGCTTGATAGCAGTATTCTTAATCTGTAGTATTCATATTGACATGTGACACATACTGTATGCAAATCAGATGGATATATGTGTGATTCTTTTATTGAATTTGATAGCATTAGAGCTATTAGATATTTCTCTATCTTGGTATGCTAATTCGGTATCACTGTGGTTGAATAGAGATGTTTTACAATCAGAAGTCGTGAGTGAAGTACAAGCATTGTGTGGGGATGAGAAATTGTCATCTATTCAGCAAGATGAAGGTGAATCTGAGCTGTTATTGCACTTTCTTTTGTCTGTGAAAGATCAGAAGCAAAAACATGCCTCAAAATTGGTTGAAGATCTAGGGTGCATAGATTCAGATATCAAAGAACTAGAGAAGAGGCACCTGTTGAAGAAGTCCATGACTGCAACTTGCTCAGGAGAAGAGGGATTACTCCATGCAAGAGAAAGAGGTTTCCTTTACCACGGAGACAGGCATCCTACCCCTGTCTTTGATGGAGGAGACTCAAGGTTCATGAAGAATGTTTCTCAGCTGGAAAGTGCTTACTTTTCTGCACGATCCCAAATCCATGAATCTGTGAATGATACTGTGGTTCGTGCAGACAGGGAAATTCTCAAAAGTAGAGAGAAATGGTATTCAGATCAACATGATGAAGAAATACAGGAACCTTTGGATGACCAAGGAGCTTTCTTTGATGGCCTATGCAAGTATGCTCGCTACAGCAAGCTCAAACTTTGTGGGACTTTAAGAAATAGGGATATAATTACGAACTCTACTAATGTTGTCTGCTCTCTGAGTTTTGACCGAGATGAGGACTACTTTGCCGCAGCTGGAGTATCCAAGAAAATAAAGATTTTTGATTATCAGGCAGTTTATGACAATTCTGTTGACATTCATTATCCTGTTATTGAGATGTCAAACAAATCAAAGCTCAGTTGTGTCTGCTGGAACAATTATATCAAAAATTATTTGGCTTCAACAGATTACGACGGTATTGTCAAGGTTTGTACATCTTACATTTTTTTTAAAGGTTTTTGTTCTTGATTGGATATATTTTTTTTTCCCACATTTCTGTCATGTCAATTAATTTTGATAAGTTATATGTTTCTGTTTGTTCAAAATTTTTTAAGCCTATTCCTTTATTAGTTGGAATCAAGATTTATTGTGAGTCCATGTTTCTTAATTTGCCACTAAAGTCGGTCATCATTATATTCAATACTAGTCAATATTAGAGATGAGGTTGTGTATGTTTGATCTTATTTGACCTGTTAAAAGCAGGAATTATACTGGAAATGGTCGTTGCTTAATAGTTTATACAAACTTTCCGGGGAATTTTTTTTTCGAAGTACGTGTTTTACTGTTGTTTCATTGGGGTAGAAATTGTGAACAATTTGTCATGTGCTCATACCGTAATGGGCAGAGCAATTTTGATTACAATCTGGGAAGATACTAATATTTCTTGGGTCATATGTCTTCTCTTTTATTATTGCTGACCTGCAAATATCTCTCATCCTTTTTCTATGTGTGTTTTCAATTTCAACTATTGATGTTGACCTATTATTGCTTATTATAACATGAAAACCAGTTGTGGGATGCCAGCACTGGTCAAGAGTTTTCTCAGTATACCGAACATGAGAAAAGGGCATGGTCCGTTGATTTTTCTATGTTGGATCCCATGAAGTTGGCTACTGGAAGTGATGATTGCTCTGTAAAATTATGGAGCATCAATGAGGTAATTTACAAATTAGTCATACAATTGTTTGCTACATGTTTATCTACTTGATAAAATATCTGGCCATAATCCACTGCTCAGTAATTAATCCTTACTCTCCTTGTTCGCAAATCAAAGTCTCATTTTACCGAAAAACCTTGTACCTTATTAATAGTCTGTTTGCTTCATCTTATTTAGCTTAATTTATTTAATTTCAGAACAAAATAATTTAACATAAAATAAGTTTAAAAATAAATTGAGACTAGATAAAAAAAAAAAAAAATAATAATTAGTCAGATAAATTCAGACAAAATTAAATAAGTTCAGAGAAAATAATTTCAGACAAAATCAGATGAACCAGAAAATAATAGTTTCATTTCATATTTATCTTTTTCTTTTCATTTTTAGTTAACAAACCCCACTATCTATTTTTTTTACTCACTTTTTGTTTACCAAACCCAACTATTGTTGTTTGTATTCACCTTTAATTAGACAAATGTCCAAACCTCAATATCTTATTTTTTATTCACTTTCTAAACATGTGTTAAATGGGACTTTAATTTAGCAGAGGGAATAGTAGTTAAGTGATATATCATTGCCCTTGTAATGGGAAAAATGCACAATATCTCATCATTTCTTAAATTTGGGCAGAAAAATTCTTTGCATACAATTCGGAACATTGCAAACGTGTGCTGTGTTCAGTTTTCTGCTCACTCATCCCATCTGCTGGCCTTTGGGTCTGCTGATTACAAGATATATTGCTATGATCTCCGTAATGCTAATGCTCCATGGTGTGTGTTGGCTGGTCATGAGAAAGCTGTTAGTTATGTGAAGTTTGTTGACTCTGCAACCCTTGTTTCTGCATCAACTGATAACACATTGAAGCTTTGGGATCTTAGCAAATCTAATGCTGCTGGCTTGTCCAACAATGCTTGCAGCTTAACCCTTGGTGGGCATAAGAATGAGAAGGTTGGTAACCTATATTTCAATTGATATGTTGCTTGATCATATGAACTTGAGTCATTTATATGGTTCAGCTGATAATTCTGACTACTGTCCCACCTCTGAATTTTGCAGAATTTTGTGGGCTTATCTGTCGGTGAAGGGTACATAGCTTGTGGTTCAGAAACAAATGAGGTGTTTTTTTAATTAATTAATTAATTATTTATTTATTTATAACTCTAATCCTTCATATAGGGGCGCTGATTAAAACTAAAAGAAACCTTAGTGAAATTTTCCAACACTTTCCCAAAGTGAAGAGGGGTTTTGGGTGATTAAGTTCACTTTCCCAAATTACCCCTCAACTTTTTTTAAGAAAAAAAAAAAAAAAAACTATCATCCTAAACAAAAAACAACTACCTCATCAACTGTTTTTTTTATTTTTTTTTATTTTTTATTTTTAAATATACTAATATTTATTATTTTTATTACCAATTTTTAAATTTGCACCCACTAGGTCCCTGATATTTATTGTTTCTTTAAATATTAGAATAAAGAGGAGAATAGAGTTTTATAGGTTTCTTATATTGCACGTACATGTTTCTTAGCTTGTGCACTTAATTGCAAGGAAACCTCAAAATTTTCTGACTAGTCTTTTGTAAATGTCATACCTTTTGGTACTTGTCTGACATCTCTTTTCCTCTTGTTTAGGTTTATACTTATTATAAATCTCTTCCTATGCCAATTACCTCACACAAGTTTGGCTCAGTTGATCCAATATCTGGAAAAGAGACTGATGATGGCAATGGGCAGTTTGTTTCCAGTGTATGTTGGAAAGGAAAATCTAATGTGCTTGTTGCTGCCAACTCCAGTGGATGTATAAAAGTGTTAGAGATGGTTTAAGGATTCATATTTACAAAACCAATTGAGAATTTAGTATGTCTCCACACTCCATCTTATTCTGTATTGGATTCCTCTGGCGACTGTTCTGTGAAGGCGACTTGATATGATCATGCACTCTTTTTTCATGAAGAGTGTGCCTTTGATAATGTTGCATTTCTCCCAAATGACATGGTACTGCAGATGTGAGGATGGATTGTTGTCGAACTAATGCTGTGGTTCTTGGTAATTCTCTAGCCAAATCACATTCTTTCTCAATCGGTGGGGCTGGACCGGCCGGTAGCAAAAGATTATGGGCTGAAGGGTTTTTCAGTTAAAGAAATCAAGTATTCTCATAAAACGCATGGGTTGAAGAGAGATGGAAGAGACTATATGCTTGAGTTTGAGTTCATGGTATGGCTTTGTTATATGAGTAACAATTTTTTCAGAATGATGCAGACTTTCCTGGAATGGAACAAGTCTTCATTGCTGCAGCTTAGATTCAGTTGTCTGTAGTATGAATCAGTGCAATAACCTTTCATTTTTTTTTTGGCAGTTCGTTGATCATGGTCCCAATTGCTCAGGAGTACATTTGATTTTGACTCGAGACTGCTTATTCCTGATGGGTAAACGACTAAATGTTATGTTTGAATCTATATATACTAGTATTTTCTTCTTTTGAGAAGCTTTGCAAGTTATCCCATGTGATGTGTTTTCATATCAAGAAAACAAATGTTCTTTTTAATGGAAACAATGCTTAGAAAAAAAAATTGTTGTGCTTTTCAGATAGTGCATTACCGGTCAGGGTTCATCAAATGTGAATCAGGGACTTAATTAAATCTCGTGAACGTTTAAAGAGCGCAGACCTTCGATCTTAACAGTGGCTGAATTTTGGAGGATTTAGAAGGCTTGACCAGAGGTAACTTTTAGTATGATTTATCTCCTAGAAACATGGAAATCTGATTTCCTCAATTTTGAATTTCTGTTCAAACCTGAAGTATATGAAATATGAATGCTTTACCTTGTAGCTTTCTGTATTGAATTGTTTTCTTAATTTGTAAATGTGAATTTGTTTGTCTTGTTAGTAGTCATGGTCTCATTTATGGACACTTGGCTCAAAAGTAAAATTGGCCTAATACATGTATTGATGGGATGTAGAATGTACAGCAGCCATGAATTTGCTTCATACTCATACATCACCAACTATAGGTCTAGCCGTAATCGATCCAAATTTCCCGCTGAGAGGATCACTTGAACCGGTTATCTGTTCAGAACTACTGAAGGGATTGTCTGTTCAGGGTTCCCCATGCATTCTAGTGATCAGCAGACATGTTAATACTACGATATTTGATGTGTAGCAACTCCTCTATTCATGTTCAAGATATACATAGCATGACTTTAAAATAGAACATATTTCACTAATTTTATAGGAGATATTGTGTATATTGTGATGTCAAACTACCATTGGTAGTTTGTAACTTTGTTACCCATACGGCCTAAACCCCTTTATCACCTACTGAAGTTGTACTAATACGAAAAATTAATTCCAATAGTCCCAATTATGACTAATCTTCTTTCATTGGTCTCAACTTTTGATCAACTTAGAACAATTGAACTTTTGGGGTATTTGCTTAAAAAAAGTCTCCAAAATTAAATTCCTAAAATGATTTAGATGCCACATGTCAAAATTGAATTGTTTTGTATTTTCTTTTTTAGCAAAATTAATTCAATATTACTGATATTAGTGATGGTACTTGTAAATTACACAGGTTGTAAATTATTACGGAGTCTTCACTTAAATGAGGTGAAATAGTGACAATCTTGATAGAAAATATAATTGATCAATAATAAAATGAAGCATATGAAAATTAGTAACAAATACAATCATCTTTGGTAAGACTAAGACTTAGAGATAGGAGTACACCCTAAGCAATAAATGAAGGTCGCAATAGATATGTACACATAATTGACTTTAATAGATTGGCATAAGTAAATAATCTCAACTAAATTAGGCAGGTGGTCATAAACTTTAGTAATTCAAACTAAAAAAATAATGAACATTAATCAAGATCATGAATGATGAATGAATGACCCTTTTTCCCATATTTTTTTTTGTTTTTGAAGGTCATGCATTTACAGGTATAGAGGAGGAGGGGGGAGAATTCAAGGTAATGCAGGTTTTGAAACGATGAGCTATTGCATTCGCATTACGTCTGACCAATCGACGGCGTGACACAAGAGGGAGGCCTTCCTTCACACACTCATCATATTCCTCAAGAGCCGCCACAATGTAACTAAAATCTGGCCTTTTGTTTGGGTTTGCTGCCCAGCATCTCTTTATTAGATGTGCTAAGGCAGGCTGACAACTTGCTGGTAAGGGAGGCCGAGCGTTCTGGCCATACAATAACACAATTTAACATCAGATCAAACCGATTGTATGTTAATCTAAAATTCTCTTAGAATTGTTAGAAGTTACGTTCTATCCGTAGTCAATCTGAACTGTCGTGTTAAATTTGTTTTGTAATGTAGAGACTAGATGTCTAAATGCAAATTGTAAATGTGCTGTGTACTTTTGACATTCTAGTGATAATAAACTAGTTTTGTAGTGTAAAGACTAAATTCAGACAAAGGTAGTATTATACACACGCAGTATGTGCGATGTACTTTTGACATTCTAATGATAAAAGGGTAATTTACTATCAATTCATCTCTATTTTTACGATCTAAGATGAAATTGCAACGATTATACTCTATAATTTCGATATGAAAAACTATGGACTAACCTTTTCAGCAACAGCAAAGGCAGCTTGCACAGGGGTCATACCCTGGAAGGGAAGCAAAGCAGTAGTAAGCTCCCAAAGAACAATCCCAAAGCTATACACGTCTACCTTCCTTGTGTAAGGCTTTTCCTTGATCATCTCCGGGGCCATCCAACGATATGTTCCCATGTTCCCTTTCGTTTCTTGGCACTGCGTTTCCAAACACGACGTACCAAAATCTGCTACCTTCACCCTCATCTCGTCGTTGAGGAGCAGGTTGTTGGATTTGAGGTCCCTGTGGATCACCCCTTGTGAATGAAGGTACTCCATTCCTCTCGAAATGTCGAGGGCTAATCGAAGTATTGTTTCTGTTGACAGGGAGTAAGGCTCCTTCTTGTTTAGGTACATCCTCAGAGTCCCTTGAGACATGTATTCTGTAATTATGCAGTATACTGGTGGTTTCTTACATGCAGCAATAAACTGCAATAATCCACACAAAAAAAATAAAAAAAATGATATTAAAGAATTTATTGGCAGGAGTGTTCTATACTGTTACACACTTGTACAAGTACCACTTTTTATGTGCATGTTAAAAATCATCTAAACCTTGCCAAAAAAGGTAAAGCAATTGCCCTTTTTTTCCTAATAAAATACGAAAAGAAATTAACGGTCAACAATATTTAGTTAATAGAGTGTCACATTATTGTAATCCAAACTTGGTGTTTTTTTTAGTGTAAAGAGAGAGTCATAAAGGACAAATAATGTAAACAAGATTTAATCTCATGTGTTAGGTATCACCACCAACACATTAACCAATTAAGATATGTTAGTCCACTCGTATGCCTTGAATATAATTAAAGCAGCAAAGCAGTAACCCGTAGATAAGTATAGATATATGTTAACTACAAGCACAAATAAAATTAGCTCACAATCTTGAACAAAGTTTTGAAATTCTTTCTTGATTTAATATCATAACAAGACTACCACACAAATAGCAATATGGGTTCAAAATTGAGTCCTAATAATAATCATATTCATAAATACATCTTTTAAAAGTGTCCGTGCTACCTATATTTTAAGCCTACGAAATTTCGAGTGCACTCTTTTCCTATTACCAAAGTAATATATTATTTTTTACCCTCTCTTAAACATGAGAAATACTGTAATTAACATGATATATATAAGCCTAAAAATTTACCTGGACTATATTGGGGTGATAAAGGCCAGAAAGCAAGGAAACTTCAGAAGTAAACTGATGTTCAAGCTTAGCTCTTGCTTCATCTTTATGTGTTGGAATTCTGACCATTTTTACAGCAACTGCTCTCTGCTTATAAATCCCTCTATAAATCCTACTATGAGCTCCTGATGCAAATTTATTTCCTATAAATAACTGCGATAAATCTGCTGTCCATTCTTCTTTACCTTCTTGGTTTGCTGATTCTAATGCTTCTATGTTTTCTGAATCCAATATCATCGACCACGATTCCAAGCTATCGAATCGCTTCCTCTCCGTGCTCTCTGCATCCATATCCCAGTTTCTTCTTGGTGCTTTCGCCATTGAGCGAATCGCTAGTGACTTCCGACGACGACGACGAAGATTTAAACAGCTTAATGATGTTGGAAAACATGATGAGCTCTCCATCTCTGATTTTTATGAACTTTTTTGTAGGACAAAAAATATAACAATATTGTAAGGAATTTTTTTATGTTAATAATTCGAAGAGGGTGCAAAAATTATAACTGGGATTTTTCTTCTGTAAGTTTGGATTGATTTTAAGAACTTCATGAACTGATTGAGATGCATGGCTTTTAGAAATTATGGTTTTGATTTGTTGCATATCAAAATTGGTTAAAAGTTTATACGAGACAGAAAAACCCAATGGGTTATTCCATAATATTGAACCATCATTTTTTTTTTGTTAAACTAACTAAAAATGAAAAACAGAGGAAAAAAACAGGGGAAGTTTAGAAAGAGTACTATAGAAACATGCTTAGATTAAGGAGAAACAAAGAAAGGTATTGATTCAATAGTGGCTTATTCAACTTCATGGTCATGAAAGATGGAATACAATATCGAGTTGAAATGAACTAAACCGGGTTGGAATGGACTGGATTGAACTGAACTGAACTTTCGAGCAAAACGATAGAAAATTCAAGAAAGAAAGAAAAGAAAAATGGATTGTAAGAGATGTTCACGGTTTTGTAATCCAAGTGAAGTAGATTAGAGGAGAGAGAGAAAAAAAAGAGGATGAATTCAAAGGAGGGAATTCAGAAGTGTCTCGTGAATGCTTGGTTTGATGAAATGGGGAAAAGAGTGATCAAAAATAAAAGTGAGCGTCTTTTTTCTTTTTGTGTCCAATTAAATGTGAAGTGACCAAAGAAGCAAAAAGTGAGCGTTTTGCTAATTACTCTTAATTATGTTGTGTATTAGTGTATCTATCAGCTATTATAACTCAAAGTCGGTATTAGATTAGAAAGATTAAACATCTAAATTTATGTATTTTGGTGCAAGATAATAAGCTAAAGTTTAGCTATTAGTGGATTATAAAAGTTAAAAGTGGTAGTTTATGTTGACTAGTTTAAAGTTACATATATACATTAATTAAAGTTAAAAGGGATTAGGATAAGTGTACGAAAATGCTCTTTAAAGAACTGGATGATATAGTTTCCGTTCTTGAGATTATGATACATGAATTTGTAGAAGATAAAGGGTTGAGATTATTTGGTAAAAAATAAAAAATTAATCCAAATTCCCTATGATTTTCTTCCCCTTTTCATGCCATACATAACATAGGGCTATTGTCACAAATTCATAGGGCTATTGTCAGTTTGTCACACACACACACAAAAAAAAAAAAAAAATCCATAGGGTGTAATGGTGTATTCAATTATCTTCTAGTGTTAGATAATTTTAAACTATTATACATGCATGGTGAAGAAAGGGGTTGGATAAGTTGGTCAATCCCTTGAGTTTCTGATGGGGGATTTGGGTTTGATTCTCACTAAATAAGTCTTGAAAGGGTTGAAGGAAAGCGTGTCACTTCGAAAAAAACGTATAATTTTTTTCCTTCTTACCTTTTTTTAATCCCTTATATGAAGTACGAGATTATTATTATTATTTGATTTTCAAACATATGGAGCTGGTGTTAAGCATTTTGTAAGAAAATTAGAAAGAAATGTTGTAATAATACTTCCTCCAATTTCTTACTAGTATGGTTTCTCGCTTAGTAAGTTGCAAGGGAGTACTATTTAGTACTACTTGCAACATAATTCGTACTAAAAAAAAAAGTAAAAATGTTCACACTAAAGATTACATTATCAAATGAAATTGACCTTAACCATGATCTTGACTACAAGTCTATTAGTAACATAATGCTCTCTCTACTTTTATGCTACCTACGACATGCATGTAGTTTGTCAACAATTAACCTTTTATCATATATTCCTTTAATTTTTGCGCATTATCTACGGTTATTAGTGTTAGTTAGTAAAAAGAAGGATGAAAACAATAAATAGGAGGAAGTTTTTAATTACTTTATACAATTGTGAAAAAACACATGAGTTGAATCTTGTATCTAAAAAATAACACCCTATCTATATTTGCAAGTGTGTTCACGGGTATATCTTCTTACTCTTTGAACTTTAATTTATGTATGCAGCCATGCAGGGGCTTGGAAGTTAACCGTATGCACAAGATTGCTCCTTAAAAAAAAAAAAAAAAAAAAAAAAAAAAAAAAAAAACTGCTACAATAATATACATGTAATATACAGCATCAAATTACCAAGCACTGTAACAACTAAACTTCAGTTTTGTGCATTTATTTGCTGTGATTCCTGTGAGATGCAAATTGTTCTTGATGCTTCAATTGACTTGTCCATGTCTACTGTTGAATTGTTGATAAGATTGCACTAGTATACTATATTGTCTGTTCATCACACTAGCTAAGCTTAGTTTGCAGCATAGTTGTAAATTAAGCTATATGGAATATATGATAACATATCTTTATATCTGGTTTCTTGAATATTTATATATACACCCGGGTGCAAGATGTACTAAGATTATTTTTTTGCTAATTTGATGATTAAATGAGCAATAAACATCCTTTAATTCAATCATAAAATAAACAAAGAAATCTTAGATGCACAGTGCACCCGTGTGTATATAATAACCTTTGTTGATCCTTGACAGATTTATGCTTTGCCAATGAAATGATTTGCTCATATTTGTTGGTCTCTCCTTTGGTATAGTTTTTGAGCTCAAGATTTGCCATGGTCTCTCCTTTGGTGTAGTTTTTGAGCTCAAGATTAATCGTAAATATACGCCTAATGGCAACTGGGTAGCCAAAGTGTTACATCCAGTTTGAATATGACCAGATTGCCCCAGAATTCTCCCCTGCTAGGCGACTGACATAGGATTAATTATTTACAATTAACTTGCGGTCGTAGATTGCTCCGATACCATTTGTAAGACCCCGACCCCAAACAAATTAGGGAGGGGCCTATTGTCACGAAATGTGCATCAAGGGCCAACAATTGTCCTCACACACCAACACAAGTCCTTCTGCAAATTTTTAACTCACTCATGCGCACCCCGGTCGAAAAACTTCCCAGGAGAGATTACCCATATATCCCAAGACTACTCCCAACTAAGCACGCTTTACTATGGAGTATCTTAGCATATGAGCTCCCTAAAAGGAAGATGTATCTGATTGATATGAGTAGTATATCAAATCCTTTTAAAGCAATCATGAGGGGGTATTATAAGTAACTTCTGACTGATGAATAAACCCCTTGGGTAACCTTAACTAAGTCCCTCAAGTAACATCAAATTGGGTAAAACGATAACCCCTAACTAGTACATCGAGTAGCCCCTGACCGAGTTACCCTTTGAATAATCCCTATCCAAACCCCTCTAGTAACCTTGATCGAACCTTTTAAATAACCTCTGTCCAAGTAACTCAAATAATTTGTGACCGAGTAACTTGAGTAAAACCTGCCACACGAAATGACAAGTAAATTAAGGTGAACTTAACATGATTTTCGTATTTACATTATGAATTCCCCTCATAATTTCTAAATTATTTTAATTTTCCAAAAAAAAAAATAATTATAAGTGAAGTAATAAAATTTCCTAAATGGTGGTGTTGATGATTCACAATCTCTCCCTTCCTTCACATCACAGTTGCTTCACTTCTCACTTGCCATTTTCCAGTTTCACACTCTCCAGGCTAACATCACTCATCACTCCACCCCTCAATCGTACCATTTTTGCATTCGAACTTTACCCTTTTTCTTCGATCTTCTTCGGAATTGCGTCTTACAATTCAACTGTTAATTTTCTACTAATTTTCCGAGTTTCAATTTCTCTACTACACTATGATTTCTTCCCAATGAAGATCCGCGAAATATCATCTTTTTTCCCCTAATTTTAGAACCCTTAATTTTCTTTTTCTTGTAGAAATTGTTAGAAAGGGTGAATAAAAAGGGAAGATCTCAATGCAGTGGTACTTCGTAGCTGCTCTTCTCACCATCCTCACCAGTTCTCAGGTCTGCTTAAATCGTATCATTTTTCTATTTTTCAATTTTATTTTATTTAATTATGATGCTTTTGTTTTCTCTTTTTAATGGGTTTTTTTTTTCTTCTACCTTGTTATATCTTCTGCAATTTGCTATTAATTTTCATATTTCTGGGTATTTAAGTTACTTGTGAATGTTAGTGTGATCAATATGATGGAGCTATTTGTTTAAAATGGGCACATAAGAAATGCAATTTAATTATGATTATCAGTAAAAATTTCACCTAAAATGGGTGTTTGTGTAGCAGAATATAGTTCTTAGGAAAATAAGAATATAGGAAGTAGTATTCACTGGACCAATTTTGTGCATTTGTGTGCGGATGGAGCAGGAACCCATTTATTGTAACGCACCTTGAAGGGTTTAATGATTAATGGATTACACCCCTCAACTCCGCGCCTACCTCCTTATGTCTGCGTTTTGTTTTTGCTAATAGTCTTGATACCTTCATTTCTTGTTTAATTGAATTTCCTTACTTAACTTCAATTCTAGTGCAAATTGAGGAGGTGGAGCGTTATGAAGCGTAATTTTAAGGAAATTACTGGAATCAAGTTTGTTCATCCATGTGGGAAGAACTTTTGTGCAGCTGCCCCCCCCCCCCCCCCTTCCCCCTTCCCCCTTCCAGATACAATAGTCACATACACTAGTTTCATATGGTCTTTAACCAAGAAGAGTTAGTAAAGGACCACCCATGTTTCCTTTTGGGCCTTTTTTAAGGAGCAAAGGCAAACTGGGTCCGATCACTCCCATGTTGCCGGTAACTAGAGGGTAAAAAATTATATACAAAAAAGTAATTAAGTAAAAGCGAGTAGAAGTTAAAACAACATATGTAAAAGGAAAGTGATTAGTATTTTGAAAAAATCATCAGGGGTATGAAAAATGCTGCTGTATTATTCAAAATAGCATTGGTGTATGACTGGATATTTTCTAAGATGTCCCTACTTAGGAGTTAAGAGTGATCGATATAATGTGGGAATGCACCAACTTCTACAAAGGATCTCTTATCAAAACTATGGTATTTATTTAATCATAGAGGGGGGACAATGTGACCATTGTTATCACATAGAGGGAGTAAAATGTTTAAGTATGGAGTAGTTTAACCTCTAAACGGATGAATAAGATGTGGGGTGACTTTAGGAACTTTCTAGAATATATTTTGTTTTAATTTTACCATATATTGTACTCAATCCGTCCCATAGTATAGTTGTTGTTTGTGTTTTTTCACAGTATTTAAGAAATTGGAGAAGAAAGTGGATAAAATACATTAATAAAAGTGAAAAGTACAATCATAGACAAAAGTTAGATAGAGAAAATGGAAAAAAGTAGAAGGTATGTGCAAAATTCAAGGGTAAATTAGGAAGAACAATGAATAAAGTTGAAAAAGTGAGGGTATAATGATCTTTACATACTATAGAAACAGGAACAATAATTTGGTTCTCCAAAATAGGAAAACAAGAACTATATTATGGGACGGAGGGAGTACTTTAATGGAGGACGTGGAAATAGTTGTTTACAACAATTTAAGGAAGGATGAATTTATTGATGTGAGTTGTGACTTGTACTGTTCAGATTACCGAATACACTTGCAATTGACGAAGCAGTAATCCAATGTTAACTCTGTTCTACATCCATGTTTTTCTATGCTGTGTGGAGAGATAGAGATGCCATGAATTTTAACTTGTAAGAAAAGAAAAGGCAAATTTGTTTGGGAAATCGTTCTTGGGTCAAAGGAGCATCCTAAAGAGACCTATATCTACCAGGAGTTTATTAGGGGTGTTATGGCTCTAACCTCTTTTTTTTTTTTTTTTTTTTTTTTTTTTTTTTTTTTTTATGACCATACGCATATGGATATAATGCAGCTTTCACATCTTTTCCTCTACATACAGAATGATATTTTTACCCTTCCATATCAGTTTAAATTCCCTATGACTAGATTCTGAAGTCTTGAGAATAAAGATGATGAAAGCAGCATTTAAGCATTGATATGCAAATTGGTTGCTACTGCTCTGTAGTTGTTACTTCGTTACACCTATAGGTGATGCAAGTTTACATTGTTTTAGGTAATTGTAGAGTAAATTGAGGATATAGAGCTCGAAAAAATGCCTTCATGTTGTGAGAATTCCTTTGTTTATTCAGTTTTCTTTCATAAAGGCAAGTGCCATTTATAAGGATGGAAGGATGATGGGAATTATAAGCAGTCTCCTTATAAGTTAGTTATGGGTGAGAAATAAGTTAGGGAGTTTGTTAGGAAAGAAATTCTATAAATAGAGAAGATTAGGGAGTGGGGAAGGCATGTTGATTGAGTATTTTGGACTAGCTTAACAAGCTAAATTAGGAAGAGATCCACCTCTTGTAAGTATCATTATCAGTAATTGCCAGTTTATAATCAATCAACTCGTCCTCCTTGCTTTATTTTTGCAATTAAACTCTTAATTCAGTCCAAATGCTATGTATATTCATAGCAGTCACAATAACAACAAATTTACTTAGGTCCAATAAATTTCGAGGAGGAGGTCTTTATTTACGAAGTACACTAAGACGCCATCCCACTAGCAATTAATTAAAAAAAAAGGAAAAATGAATTCCTTTAAAGTTGACCCTTGCTGGAGTTTAACATGAACTTATTTAGCGGTCACTGCTGAACACTTTTGTTTTCCCAAACGTACATTTGAGATTCAGCTCTAAGTCTTGTCCCAGGAACACCAGTAACAACCTATGATGCTCCATTCCATCCAAATAAGCGGGAACTTGCTATTCAGCCTGGGTCACCACATGGTAACAATAGGCTTCTCTGGGATGCTGTGTTTAAATTCATCAGCATCTTAACCTTAGTGCCAAGTTTCGAACTACAATATTGTTTTTTGATAATTAAATGGATAATTTGCCAATTACTACCGCAAGTTAATACCACTTTGTAAATTATTACCGCAAATTTAAAAAGTTGTGAATTACTACCGCAAAATTTTTTAATATGTTGCGATTACTACCAAACCCCCATTAAACCCAACTATGACGTCATTATATCCCTTTAACCCGTGTTTGACCATGGTTAAGGGCTTTAACCAGCCCCCCCCCAAAAAAAAAATGGATTAGGGATATAATGACGTCGTGGTTAAGGGCTTTAACCATGGGTTAAAGTGATATAATGACGTCATAGTTGGGTTTAATGGAGGTTTGGTAGTAATCGCAACATCTTAAAATTTTTTGCGGTAGTAATTCACAACTTTTTTAATTTGCGGTAGTAATTTACAAAGTAGTATTAACTTGCGGTAGTAATTGGCAAATTTTCCTAATTAAATAATTGAATTATCATTTGAATTTGTGTATTAGCAAATGAGCAATTACCTGTATCTTATGCTTAGCCTCTACTTTATGTGTGACAGGGCATTTTAACTACTTTATCACAGAGTGATGGTGGTTACAAGTATGATTATGCAACCGTTCCGTTTCTTGCTGAGGTGTTCAAGGTGCTTCCTTCTATTCCCTTGTAGCTCAGAGACTTGAATTCCAAGCTTCTTATGTGACTTCATAGTTCAACATCGCTTCCTATTGACTTACTTACATATTTTCTGTTGGTAATGCTAGCTGGTGGTATCCAGCATACTTCTTTGGAGGGAGGTCCGTACTTCACCTTCTGTAAGGATGACAACTGATTGGAAAACTGTGCGACTGTTTCCAATACCATCAGTTATATATCTGATTCATAACAATGTTCAGTTTGCCACCCTCACATATGTGGATACATCCACTTACCAAATCATGGGCAATCTCAAGATTGTTACCACTGGGATACTGTTTAGGTGCTTCCACCCTTTTCAAAACTTCTTAATTCACATCCTCTAATGTTTAAGCTGATTTATAATGTAACATTTTTTTGAATTTTTTATTTAATTTGTAGGACACTCATGTTTAAATATAAGTTGGAATTTAGTTCTGAAGATTTTTTGTCATGCAGATTATTTTTAAAGAAAAAGTTGACAAACTTGCAATGGATGGCAATAATTCTGTTGGCTGTTGGCACAACCACAAGCCAGGTGATACTCCCAAACCAACGCAGCTTTCATTATGACCCCCCCCCCCTCCCCAAAATCACCCCCAATAGAAAAAGAAATTAAAATGAAAGAGCAAAGAGAAGAAGGATAGAACATGGAATTTGCTGACAAGATAAATGTTAATGATCCGAGGCAATTCATTTGTACCTTGCCAATGTAGCATTTTAACCTGTCTTTTTTCCCTCTATCATAGGTCAAAGGATGTGGAGCGTCATCATGTGACTCACTTCTCTCAGCACCAATCCAAGGGTATATGTTTGGGATCTTGTCAGCTTGCCTGTCAGCATTAGCTGGTGTTTATACTGAGTTCCTCATGAAGAAAAACAATGACAACCTGTATTGGCAGAATGTACAATTTTATACGTAGGTATCTCTGTTTGAGTTACATGCTTAGACTTGCATTTATGGTATTATCATGAATTCATGATTGCATGGTATCATGCATACCGAGTTGTTAGGTGATTTGACTTAGACCACCGGTAGCATTTACTTGGTAATAACCCTCCCCCTAGGTTGTATGCTATTTTGCTCCTACTTTATGCTTGAATAATGTTGTGATAGCGACATGTAAATAAGATACCTTTTAATTTGGAAATACAATCCCCTTTGTACTGTTGATCTTTCTCCAATCTATGATCAGCCATAGTGTCCTATGTTTCTTCCTGGACTGTACATATAGGCATTTTCTGTTGGAAGTTATGAGCAATACCTGTATTTTACTTAGGAATATGTCATAGGCAAGGTGAATTGCTCTTCTCTATCCCGAGGATTGCTAAAGAGGGAAGAATACCACATATTAGCAATTGACTTACCTTTGCTCTGTGTACTTTGAACAGAATTGTCTCAGTATTTGTAAACATGTAAATTTTTTCAAAGGTATTTGAATTTTGTTTTTGTTTTCTGATTACAATCCCTTAGCATCATCTCTGCTTGTTGGCTACTTGTGCACCTTAATCCCCTCATCTCCAAAAAAAAAAAAAAAAAAAAAAAAAAAAGGGAAATGAAAAGTAGCCTTACAAGGTTAGACCTTTTTTTTCTTCAGTTGTTGCACTGTTACTCAAACTTCTACTTTGTTTGGAAACAGTGGTGCTTATATTAGTTCTCTTGCAAACTTTGTTAGATATCAGGCAATAATGCTGTCATTTTTATTTATTTTTTACTTCTCCAGATTTGGCACTATCTTTAACTTGGCACGCCTAGTTTTGGATGATTTCACAAGTGGTTTTGAAAAGGGGCCATGGTGGCAACGCCTTTTTGATGGATATAGTATGGCAACCTGGCTCGTGGTTCTAAACTTAGGGTCTTCAGGGCTACTAGTTTCATGGATAATGAAGTATGCAGATAACATTGTGAAGGTAAATATGTTTTCTTAATATACCTAGTAGTTGAAACCAAAGGTCCATGTGAGGTAGGATGTCCAATACTCCAATTTTAGTTTCTACTAACAAATACTTGTTTGGAATAATAGATTTCTCAATTGCAAGTTCTTATTATAGCACAAGTAATCTTCTTTTTCATGGGAATTCATTATATTTTACAGGTATATGCAACCTCAATGGCAATGCTGCTGACAATGCTCTTGTCTGTTTACCTGTTCGAATTTAAGCCAACTTTACAGGTTTGTCTTTGCATATACACTAATTATTATCTTATTCTTCCTTATCATATTCCTTTTATGTTACACGGAGTGACTGCCACCCCCCCCCCCCCCTCCACCCACACCCAAAAAAAATCCCGAGAAAGGGAGGGGGTTGACATATGACATTCTTCTTGCAGCATTACTCCTTTATAGATTCATGGTTTGAATTTATACACCTGAAATGACATATCTCAATTTTTGGGTTATCCCAAATTGATTATTTGCATGCTCTTTCTAGAAAAACAAGGCACTTAAGTTTTTCAGGCATATTTTTAATCAAAGAAAATATTCAAAACTCATTAATCATCATTAATTTTTGGGTGATCTGGATTAGATAATGGTTTTGGAAGTGCATATCAAAATAATTCTTTTTCTATCTCATATACTCCCTCCATGTTTATTTTTTATAATCACTTTCCTATACGGATATATCATATTACTGACCGCCAAATTTAAGGTGAAAAGTTTTTACATGTGATATTACAATATACCCTTCTTTTGTGAGCAAATTGTTCTTCTTAGCTTTGCGAAGTTCACCTCAAGTCCATTTATAGGCTCAAATATGATAAGATAGGCTCTAATAAGGTTAATGAAGGCTATCCAAGTTCAATTTGCGATCAAAATAAGTTCTATTAAGCTAAATAAGGCCTGTTCTGTTTACTTTATTTTCACTTTTTTCAGGTCTAATAAGTTCAGTTAAGATAAATTCAGTTTAGGAAAAAATAGGTTAAAAATAAATTCTAATAAGGGCTACGCAAGTTCAAATTACAACTAAAATAAATTTTAATAAGTTCTAATAAGTTTTAATAAGTTCAGATAAGTTCAGTTAAGTTTGTATAAGTTAAAATCAGGTGAATAGAGTGCACCCTAAGTTTAGATAAAAAGAAAACATAAGTGACAATCAAAGTGAATAGAACGCGCCTTTACTTTTCTCTCTCTTTTTACTCTATTTGTTAAATAATCACATGGGTTTACTTACCCCTTTACAATTTCACTCTCCTTTTTTTTTTTTTTGTGGGTTGTGACCCTATTCACTTGCTTGCAAAGTTGCAATTAAAAAAATAATTAAAAAAAAAAAAAAACAACATACAATGTATATTGCAACTGTAGAGAATCTGCTAAACTTGAGTTACCCATTTAATTATAAGAGTAAAAAGATTAATAAAATGAAGAACTCATGTGATGGGGAGAAAGATGGAGCAAAAGAAAAGGAATAACTCATGAAATGAAGAGAGAGATATAGAAAATACATACAATATAAGGAAATGTTGCAATGGGTATGAAACTTTTATAAAAAGAAAACATTGCAATTTATATGGAACAGAGGCATCGTATATGTCACTTCATAATTTAATTACAATATTTCTTTATTTTGAAAATTTCATATTAATTGCAACATTATCTTATTTAGTGGATCCAAATTTCTCCCCATCACATGAGTTTTATATTAATATTATGTAGTGGCCGATCCAAATTTAAAGAACAAAAAGAAATAGAGGGGGTGTATAGTAATTAGCTTAATATGGATCACATGATCAGAGTTCCTGTATGGAGCAGGCCAGCACTGAGTAGAATTTGCATTGGAAATTTCATTGCTTAATTACACAGAACCAAACAGGGCCTAAAGTTTGTTTATGATCTGTTTAACAGAAAAAACTGGTTAGTGTGTTATTGTTTCTGTTCCCTACTTCCCTCTGTTTAAGATTAATTGGCAGTTTACCCACTAATTAAATCTCATTACATTTCATTTATACTCTTCCATATCATTGATTCTAAGTGGGTTATTGGAAGATATATAATCATAATCAAATCATAATCACTTTCATTGAACATCTAAAACAGGAAATAGTTCGAAATATATTACTTTCTTTACAATGCATGTCTATTGCTATATCTCTGGGTCTGCTACTTGCTCAAATCTTATTGAAAAAGAGTGTCATTTTTCCTTATTTTTAGGATGGAGGACACACCTCTTTAAAAAAAAAAAAAAAAAAACTAGTTGGTTCTTTTCATTTTCAAAGGGTTGTTGACATTCTTTTTCCCCTCTTGCAATTTTGCAGCTTTTCTTGGGTATCATTATATGCATGATGTCATTGCACATGTATTTCGCTCCTCCAAATGTGCTTGTGGAGTTGCCTGTCATGGCAAAATCAGAGCATGCGAATCTGAAAGAAGTTGCTATAGAAAGGGTGAATTCCTGACCTCATTTGGCCAAAAGAATATGCCTTTCTGCATCTTCACTTTGAATCATAGTTTGAGAAGATAGTGAACGATTCCTGATTATTTCGGTTTATGCTCTCTGAGGTGCTGATTTCCTGATTATTCTGGGATTTGGTGGTGCTGCCTACTTAAGGGTTTCGCAGGAGAAAGGACTGGTTAATAGTCTAGATAGAATTGGGTAGGAGTAGGATTTTCACCACTGGTTGCAAGACCAAGGGAATATGTTGTTAGTCATATACGAAACTGAACATGCCTTTGAATTATATTTTGGAAAGCAATTATCCTTGTGAATTGTAAGTAAAATTTTTGAATTATTTTGTAATCTTGCTTAGTTATTATTGAATATTATGTAACCGTTAAAAGCTTAAATCATCTATAAGTATAATACTTGTATTATTTTGTTCAAATGTTCTCTTACTGCAAATTTTTCTGAGTCTGCTAAAATCAGAATATATTCATGCGGCATATCAGAGAATAGCTAGCTGCACAAAGCCATATAACGCAATTCCCAACTAGAAGCAAGTGTGGGCTTGTGGCTCAAGGAAACAATGGTTCAGGAATTTGGTTCTATTATCAAAATTTGACTGATTTAATATTAGTTTCTTATATAAATAATTCCAATTTATTCTTGGTTCCCTAAAAACTTCCCACATTACCTTCTCCAACATCCCTATAAAAGGTAGAACATTGAAGTTGCTCTTGACATAAAATCTTTCCTTAAGATCTCATATAATCATATTAGGCACTAAATAAACACAATGCTTACAATGTTTTGAGAGATTTTTCGGCAATACTGGAAAACAGTTGGCTACTCAGTCATCAATCAATGGAGGTTCAAAATTCATTGATGAACAAAAGGAGAGGAAGTCTGGTAGCAGTAATCATTTCCAGATGCCTCTGCACTATCCCAGGTATAAAAAAGGAGACTACGAGAAAATGGAAGAGTGGAAGCTAGATTGCTTGCTTACTTCTTATGGTTTGCCAGTAATTGGAACTTTGGAACAAAAGAGGAAGTATGCTATGGGAGCTTTCCTCTGGGAATAATAAATTTTGGCTTTGCTGTGAAGTTATTAGTCTTTCGCAAATTTGAGTATGTTTAACTAACTGTAATAATTCTGGTAAGTCAAATACTCAACATGGAAGGAGTTTGCCTCCCTCGTCATCTGCTAATATAATGAATGTTCAGTTTGGTTTTGTTACTTTCTATATTCTCGGTTTATGTTATGTACCGTTCATTAAGATTGTCTCATTTGATAAATAAAAAAAAAAACTCTTAAATGGGTTTTCAAAAAAAAAAAAAAAAAAAAAAAAAAAAAAAAAAAAAACTCTGAAATGGAGTATTTAGCTTATTTGTGCTAGTTGTCCTTTTTTCGGGTGATGAAAGAGGCTTAAATTAGCGCGTCATGAGTGCTATCATTTTGTATGGGGAAATATCCATATAACGGTAACGATTATATTAATAGGCCGATATGGTATTACAGGCCGATATACTATTTGAATCCGACCCATCAATAATTCTTGTTAATATCGGCATTTGTGTATAAAGAATACATATCGGCATGTAAGCAGCTGATACGTGTCGCTCTCACGTTTGACACGTGGCAAAAACTACTTTGCCTATTAAGCTGCCACCCGTCACTTAATTAACCTATAAATAATCTAGTTTTACCTCATAAATAAGGTAACATTTATTACACTCTCTCTCTACTTTTCTCTCTAAATCGCTCTCTTCTTTCTATAAACACTTGCTAACTTAATCTTCGGAGTGGTTATCCCCGGATTCACCCCGGGGCCAGCTAATCTCTTCCCTGTGTGTAGGTTCTTGTTTGGCCGATAGGAGCATAACGGGTTATACACTCGAGCTTCGGATCTTGGAGTTGGGTTATCGGATTCCTGCAGAAACAATTGGCGCTAGAAGGAGGGGAAGCTACTTAATAGCTTCTATCGCCTAGAAGAGCCTCATACCTTCCGATATAATAGTGTAAAAAAAAATGCCTAATCCAGAAATTCAGATTGAGGATGAAACTCATACTTTGGAGGGTAACGAATTTCATATGTCGTTAACTCCTGAAGGGCAGACTGGAGCAGATGTAGACCCTATGGCTGGGTTTACATCAGAAGAGTTGGAAACGGCTGCAAGAGTAATGACCGCTATGAGTAAAAAAAGAAAAGAGGTAGGGGCAACCCAAGATGGAGGAAGGATGCCTTTTACAGCTCATGGCAATCAATTTAACCAGACCGGAAGTTCACAAAGACGCCGGCATGAAGGGTCACCGATAAGATCCCAGCAGACCCCTAGAGAATCAGAGGTTCAATCCTCAGGTCAGGATGAAAGTACGGGGACTTATCAGCAAGGAATGGTGCGAAGAGTAGTTCAGTTGAGGGCATCACCATTTGCGCAGAGCATCCTCGATCAACCGATGGAAAAAATCAAAATGCCGACATGTCGGTATGATGGAAGAGGAGATCCAGGTAGATACATGACCTCATATGAGGGTCACATGATTTTATACACCAATTCCGATGCCATTTGGTGTAAAGTATTTCCTACCACTCTGGTTGGAGCAGCAGCTGATTGGTTTAATAATCTTGAGAATGGAGCAATCCACAGTTTCCAGCAATTAGCCGAAATGTTTGTGGGGCAGTACGTTAGTAACAGTGTTCGGCAGAGAACTTCTGGAGAGTTAATGGCCGTTACTCAAAAGGCAGATGAATCTCTAAGGGATTACATAAGGAGGTTTAATAATGAAGCCAATACGATTCCCAAATTGCAGCAGGAGATAGCAGTCATGGCGCTAATGAATGGCCTGAATGATTCAGAATTTAAAAGATATTTAACCCGAAAAAATCAGCCAACATTAGCTGCAGCTTTCAACAAAGCTCATGATTATATCAAGAGCGAAGAATTGATGAAAACGAGCAGCCGAGTTAGTTGTACCGATAGGATTCAACCGATGTCTGAAGGGGGATCTTCAGGAGTTGTAAGGCCGAGGAATCCTACCGCAACAAGGGGAGGGAGCCGTCAAGAGGTTAGAGGAACCAAGGCACCAATGCGATATAATTCGTATACACCTATGAATGCACCGAGGGCTGCAATATATTCAGTAAATCAAAACCGAGAAGGATGGGTGAGGCCCATGTCGATGAAAGCGAAAGGAAGGGATACCAAGAAATATTGTATATTCCACCGAGATGTGGGGCACTACACTGAAGACTGTGCGCAGTTGAAAGATAATATTGAAGAATTAATAAGAAGGGGGCATCTCACTCAATATCGGTTGCACTCTGGGGAAAGCCAACAACAGCAATATCGGTAGCCAGAGCGCCAACAGATAGAGTTCCGGCCAGAAAGACAAGGGCAAGTGAGCCGACAAGGTGAAGGTGGGCAACCACCGTCGTCCACAGGAAAAAGAGTTGATGTAATAACCGGTGGACCAGTTCATGGAGGGACGATAAGTGGAGCTCGGAAGCATGTATCGGAACATCGGCACATTGTTAATGCACTAAATGTTGTTGATCGCCCACAACCATCTGAAAGTCCAGATGTAACCTTCACCAAAGAAGATGCAAAAGGAATAGTTTTTCCTCATGATGATCCCCTTGTATTGATAACAAAAATCAATGGAGCTGATGTGAAGAGAGTTCTAGTTGACGGAGGAAGTTCAGCGAATGTTTTGTTTATTCAGGCCTTTAATGAGTTGATGATAGGCCGACAATATTTAACGCCGGTATCTTATCCGGTGATTGGGTTTAATGGTTCGACGGTAAGGCCTGAAGGGAGTATAGTTCTCCCCATTAGGTTCGGAGATGGTATAATGGCAAGAGATGCGATGGCTGAATTCTTAGTAGTAGATGTACCATCGGCATATAATGGAATTGTTGGAAGGCCGATAATTCACGACATACATGCAGTGGTATCAACTTACCATTTGACTATTTCTTATGTGTCAAATAGAGGGGTTGTAGAAAAGGTACATGGTGGACATGTGATGGCAAAATCATGCTATGTCACGGCACTGAAAAATCCAGGGCAAAAAGGAGAAGTATCGAGCAACCCGAAGCGAGCAAGAGAGCCAACAGTGCGAGATTTATCCATGGAGAATTTTAACTCTAGGCCGGACACTGCGCCAAGGCCGTCACCAGGAGGTGAGACAGTACAGGTGGAGCTCCAACCGGGGAACCCGAATCAGACAGTTAAGGTTGGGGCCGATATGGATGTTGAGATGAGATGTAATCTGATCAGTCTATTAAGGGAGAATGCGGATGTGTTTGCCTTCTCTACAAGTGATATGCCTGGCATACATCCAGAGGTAATGGAGCATAAGCTTAATGTGGATCGGAGATTTAGGCCGGTAAGGCAGAAAAAGCGCAATTTCTCAACAGAAAAAATTGAAGCCATTCAAGCGGAAGTCAACAAACTGTTAACGGCAGGATTTATAGAACCATGCACTTATCCAGAATGGTTAGCAAATGTCGTAATGGTCAGGAAGTCGACTGGGAAATGGCGAATGTGCGTGGACTTTGCAGATTTAAATAAAGCTTGCCCAAAGGACTGTTATCCATTGCCTCAGATAGACAGATTGATAGATTCAACTTCTGGCCATGAGATGTTAAGCTTCTTAGATGCATTCTCCGGATATCATCAGGTTAGTCTTCATGAAGCAGATAGGCCTAAAACTGCTTTTATAACAGATGTCGGGGTATACTGCTATAAGGCAATGTCGTTTGGCCTAAAGAATGCCGGTGCAACATATCAAAAGCTGGTTGATAAAATTTTTGCAAATCAAAAAGGCCGTAATGTGGAAGTATATGTAGATGATACGATAGTAAAAAGCAAGGTGAAAAAAGATCGCATAGACGATTTGAAAGAAACTTTTGCAACTTTGCGGCAATATGAAATGAAGCTCAATCCGGAAAAATGTATTTTTGGAGTTTGATCTGGAAAGTTTTTAGGTTTCATGGTTAGTGAACGAGGCATTGATGCAAATTCTGATAAGGTTAATGCTCTTCTTGAAATGAAGCAACCTAAATCAATTCGAGATATCCAGAGGTTAACAAGAAGAATGGCAGCTTTAACGCGCTTCATTAGCAAATCAGCAGACAAAGCACTCTCGTTTTTTGTGGTTTTGCGGCAGAACAAGTCATTTGAATGGGGAAAAGATCAAGCTGATGCCTTAGAAATGGTAAGAAACCATTTGAAGTCTCTCCCGACAGTAGCACGACCAGAGCCGGGAGAATACTTACAATTGTACATATCGGCGTCACCAAAAACAGTAGCCTCAGTCCTGCTAGTTGAAAGAGCCAAGCAACAAATGCCGATATACTTTGTCAGCCACGTTCTTAATGTTGTTCAGCGACGATATCCGGTGACAGAAAAAATGGCATTTGCCGTTGTT